CTTGGGCCCCTAAAAAAAAAAAAGGGCCCCCCCCCCCCCCCCCCCCCCCCCCCCCTGCCCCCGCCCCGGTCCGTCCTCTCGAGAGGACGCGTGGGAAATGGTCTACTATGACCGCCAAGGCATGCAAGACATAAGAGTGTAAGCCCTTCGTTTGTTGCTTTTTGTCCACATGTATGATGTCCAGTTTTCGTACTCCGCCGCCATCACGGCCTGCAAGAACTGCGGACAGTGGGAAACAGCGCTGGGCCTCCTGGACGACATGAGGATGAGGGGGCTCGGCAGGGACAGGCACTCGCTCAACGCCGCAATCGCCGCCTGCGCTTCCGCCGGAAGGTGTGTGTTTGTGTGTGTGTTTGCGTGTGTGTGTGTGTGTGTGCGTGTGTGTTTGCGTGTTTGTGTGCGTGTGTGTGCTTTTCACAATGGATTCATCTCTATCCAACGGATAGGAGCCCGAGATATGAATTCGCAATGAATCCCATGGGGTGTGCGGGAGCACTAATATAGACAATGCAGCACCTTTTTTTTTTTTTTCATTTTTTCTTGAATACCAGAGTTCGATGACGTGTCTGTCGCTCCCACGGTACACAGCAGTAGTGCTCAAGCACCCCCCCCCGACCCTTTTGCCCAAACGGCGAGCGTTGTGAACCGTATTCCTGTAGGACGAATTGCTTCACGAACTATTTATACGCCTAGGGAGGCAGCAGCAAGTAGCTTTCGATCTCGGCATGACGGCAGCGGTGGCCCGCGCTGACAACCCCCCCCTCCCGTTGCGTTCGGCGCTGCTTTTAGGTGGAAGCCCGCCGTGGAGATTCTGGAGGGGATGGAAGAGAAAGGCCCCAGCCCGGACGTCTTCACCTATGGCGCCGTCATCGACGCGTGAGTGAATACCAAGGATATAACCAGCGCGAGGTTGGTTCAGTTTGAGATGTAGCCCTCTCGTATGAGCCGTTGGGGTGTACAAGTTTCTCGTTTACGCTTCAGGTCGAGAGTAGCCCTCTCATACGCCCGATGGCAAGGGGCACAACAACAGAAAAGGACACTTAACCCCCCTCCAGAGGCGCTGAGGGGGGGGGCGGGGGGGGGTATACTAAAATCAAGGAAAATTAATAATGGCAACAAACACATCATTGTTGAACTTTGCTCGCAATTACGACACCACTGATTTTTTTTTGTCATTTCGACCTCTGTAGGGATTAGGTGTCGTTTTCAATTTTCTGCGTGCGCCCTTGCCGGTCGCGTTAATTTTGTTAATTTTGTTATTTTTGTTGGCCTGGCGGTCATACCTATGCAGCTGGTGTGGTGTTGTCCTGGTTTGGCCTCGCGCAAAAGTGCGAAGTACGAACACCGGTGAGCATCATCGCGTGGAGAAAAAACAGTTGGTGGTGTCGGTGGGGTTCGAGGGGGTTGGACGGTCGTATTTAGTACCCAGGGTCCGGTCTGCTCCCGTTTATCGCTTGTATCACCAGAAAACACACAGGACCCGCTGCCGTAGCAGTTCCTCCTGCGAGCTGTTTTCAAAGCCCCCCCCCGTCCATGCTCCATCCTCTCGAGGGCGCGTGGCCAATGATCTAACCGCTACCATGCATGCAAAACATGAGTACCCCCCCCCCCCCCCCCCCCCCCGGTGCCCCCTTGTTTGCTGCTGCTCCCCCCCCAACACGCCGCGCCTAGCCTCGCGCACGGGGGAGAGGTGGACCTAGCGCTCCGCACCCTCAAGCGCATGCGGTCCGACCCTTCCCGCTACCCGGCTCCGAACACGGTGTGCCACAACGCGGCGCTCATGGCCCTCATGCGCGACGGCCGGTGGCGTGAGGCCCGCGGCCTCCTGTCTGAGGTGGCCTCGGCTACTCCCGCGACGGGGGGGGGCGTGGAGTTGGATTTTTTGTCGTATAACACGGTGATCCGGGCGTGCGCGGCCGCCGGGGAGGCGGAAGAGGTGAGGGAACACAACGAGGCTTTTTTTTTGGGGGGGGGGGTTGCGAAAACGTTGTGAGTTTGATGCGGGGGGTCGTTTGTGAATTCGTTGGATGATGCAGAGTCGTCGTGATTCGATGCAGATGCAGAATCGTTGTGTGGATTCGTTGCTTGGCGCAGCATCGTTGTGGGGCAGTGTTTTTTTTCTCTCATTGTTCTTGAGTGAGGTAGTCCAAGTGACGGGAAGCGATACTCCTCCTCTGAGTTCGACGTTTATCGTCCTTGGGACGGTGGTATTCAGCTGGTCCGTCACAACAAAAAATCCCAGGTCCACCATGACGCAGAAACGTCATTTTTCATTATCCTCAATCTGCGAAGACACGGGGTTCTTGGGGGGGGGGGGTTCGTGTTTGAATGTGCGAGTGTCTTGCTCGTGTGACTGGAATCGTAATCTCGATCGAAAATCGCATATCGAACGCTGTGGCGGTCAACCTATGTCGGAATTCGGAATTACAAATCGGAATCGACACACACCAATACCGTTGCAACAACCGAAACGAATCTGGACGGGTGACGGGTGACGGGTGGGTGGTGGGTGGCGCAGGCCCTCAAGACGAGAGAAGAAATGCGCGCCGCCGGCATCCCCGCCGACGCCTACACCTACGAGGCGCTGTCCACGGCGTGCGGGTCGGCCGGCGACTGGGAGGCGGCGGAAGCGGTCGTGCGCGAGATGGTGGCCGGGTGCTCCTCCTCCTCCTCTTCCTCCTCTTCCGCGGCGGCGGCGGCGGCGGCGACGGCGGCGGCGGAAGTCCCCTCGCCGGCAACAGAAGGCGGGGGATCGGCAACAGGAGTTACTCCACCGGCAACTGAAGGGGTAGCGGCAGCAGCAGCAGAAGCAGCAGCAGCCGCAGAAGCAACAGCAGCAGATGCAGCGGCGGCGGCGGCCGGTGCGGGATCACAATCGTCAGCGGAGGAGGACGAGGAAGAAGAAGACTCGTGGAGCCAGACGCTGAGACACAGGCAGAGGCGGCGGCGGGAGCGGCTCAAGAACGGTGTCCCGCCCTCCCCTCGGGTGTTCCACGGGCTCATGGAGGCGTACTCGAGGGCCGGGGAGTGGGAGCGGGCGCAGCAGTGCCTGGACGACATGCGGCAAGGGTCGGGGTGGCTGCCGGAGGATGATGGGCAGGAGAGGGTCGGCGCGGGGACTGGGGTGAAGCCAGATAGTACGAGCGTGGGGTGGGCGATCCAGGTATTTGGGGTGGCGGCATAGGACAGGCAGCCTTTGCGCGACCTCAGGGAGGGGGGTGGGGGAGAGAGAGAGGCAGAGACGGAGACAGACACAAGGAGAGACAGACACAAGGAGAGACAGTAACAGAGAGACAAGAGAGAGAGAGGCACAGAGAGACAGAGAGAGAGACAGACAGAGATAGAGACAGAGGGCGAGAGGCACAGAGAGACAGGCACAGAGAGAGCGAGAGATAGTGTACCTGTGCACGTTTAACTCTTTTTGGTCTACTCTTCTTTGTAAAACTTGTATAAGACTTGCGTGCTAGTGGTACATTGTTTCGCGATTTTCAAAACGTGCAGGTTGGGACACTATCTTTCCACTTGCACGATTTCTGCGCCATCATTACCACCACTCTTGAGACCCCCCTTTTTGGTTGTCTGCCGTATCCGCCCCCAAAGTAGTAGCACCCAGCGCTTTTCAATCTCTGAGATCCCCCCTCTGGATATGTGCCCATCGAAGCCGAAAACAACGATGGACGATTTTGTGAGAAACCTATTAACGCGTTGCACGCTTTGTAACTTTCCGTCCGATTTCAAAAGGCTTGCGCGGCTGCGGGGCAGTGGGACCGCGCGCTCGCGACGTTTTCGGGTGCGAAGTCCGACGGCATCCAGCCCGGGCAGCTCTGGTGAGGGGGGGGACGGAGATTTTTTTTGTTGGGGGGTATGTAGCGGTATGTCGCGGCCCGATTTGGTGTTGTAACACTCTTGGTGCATCCCCCTGATGTTCTGTTGATTGGAGGTGGATGAGCACAGGGAGAGAGACAGAGATACACTGAGAGACACACAGAGAGATGAGAGCAGACAGGACTAGAAGGAGGGGCTTGGGCAGCAAAACTCTGTATTCCGAACTGGTTGGGCTTGGTTGCTCACTAAATAGAGAGCCTAACCTTTTCGATCGCCATGAGGCGACCGCCATGTACACACGTGTGACGTGCAGGTATAGCCGGCGTCCGAGCGTATTTTCCGCGTGCTCCCTCGCCTACCCCTACCGCCATGCTCTTCTGCCTCCGTCGCCCACTTTCATTTTCTCAGCCCTTGACCTGTCCGTCTTCCACTTCCTTCGGCCCAGCCGTCGAGATTTCAGCTTATCACTCGCGGAGGCGGTGTTCCACCCATATCTTCACCTCTCTTGTGTGTCCTTTTCACGAACCGTTCCCCTCAACGTACCCCCTGTCCGTCCATCATCCTCGACCTGGCTGGCAATCGCGTTTTTTTTTGTCCCATCGGAAACAGCTTCGACGCGGCGCTTCGGGCTTGCGCCGTCGGGGGCCAAGGGGCTCGCGCGACGTCGCTGTTGGCGGAGATGGCGACGCTCGAGTCAGAGCACCGGTTGGCAAGGCTAGGGGAGGAGGAAAAAGCCTCTCCCTCTTTGGGAGCTAACAATGTGGGTCGGGGGTGTACTTATGAGACAAGAGCTTAAGCTGGATATCAACCAGATTGTGTGCTTGTGTGTGGTTTTTTTGATGTGGCCTGCATTGAGAGAGGCGTGAAACCTGCGACGGGACGGTACTGTCAGCGGGCGCCGTGTTTTTTTGTTGTTCCGCCAGTCATGACAGCGAGCCCATGTGTTGTGAAGTTGTTGCCGGTACATGACACATGAATGAATCAAGGAGAGGAGGAGCCGGAGGAGGAGACCTCTGATCGCCGGGATTTGAAGAACTGCCCGCGAGGTCGTCAGGCGCTCTTCCGCATGAAACACTCCCCAAGGGTCTTCAGGACAATTTTGATTTCGATTTTACACAGGAATTAGCATGGGAGGCTTCGTTCACGATAATAAGTCGTTGCCCTACTGCAGAGGGGTTTCTATCCACGGTGCCCCTTACGCACTCCCCCCCCGACGGACCCCGATTTTCGATTAGTAGGCCCATGTGTCATGATTTTTTTTTTCAAAAAGACCGTTGCTCACCCCCATCTTTTTTTGCCATCAACCAACGTTACACCCCCTTCGTATCCTCCCGCAACGGCAGCAGGGTGTAAGGACCGTGCCCCAGCCGTCGGAAGACGACGCCGCGCCACGCCGGAGCACGGACAGCTACCGGCTTGGCATGGAGGCGTGTCGGAGGGGCGGGGACGCGAGGGGGGTGATGTCGACGTTCGTCATCATGGAGGAGGAGGGCTTCGAGGCTGACGTGGTGAGAGCAGCAGCAGCAGTGGATAACGTTGGCGGGGTCTCTATGTAGCTAGGGTTAGGGTTAGGTTTAGGGTTAGGGTTTAGGGTTTAGGGTTAGGGTTTAGGGTTTCGGGTTAGGGTTTAGGTTTAGGGTTTAGGGTTAGGGTTTAGGGTTAGGATTAGGGTTAGGGTTTAGGGTTTAGGATTAGGATTAGGATTAGGGTTAGGGTTAGGGTTTAGGCTTAGGGTTGGCAGCAGCAGATAGCCTCGGCAGGGTTTTCTGTGTAGTTAGCAAAAAAACGTTGGACAAAAAGCATGCAGTTGGGTTAGGGATATAGATAGGGTCTGCGTACCCCCCTTCCCCGTTCTACCTCCACGTATAACTTAATTTCTCGCGAAGGCGGTCCGGTGAGGGGGGCGGTGGTGGTCCATCCAGCGAGCAGCGGGCGGTGGAAGGGGGAGGGCGTGGGCGCGCGTGTGTAAGGTTCCGGTTGTTGTCGAGGATCGTTTTGTGTTGGAGAGAGGCGAAAACAGGAAACAGATTTACGTTGGCGTGGCTCTTTGCGAACCCCCCGAGTGCGTGCCTGCCGTCACTGACATGACACAAGATACCCCCCCCCCCCCCCCTTTTGCCGATTTTCTAAGCAATATTATCTTTCTCCATGACGTGAAGAGGATGTAGAAATCCAACGATGCATGTTCGGGGAAATCTATCTGTCTCTCGAGACGAGACGGTTTCAACGCCCCACGATTGTCGACACCGCCGCTCTTTTCTGCTACTTGTACTTGTAGGCTGTGGGGTAATCGAGCCTTGCAAATCCGGCCAGGGGGCGTGATATCTTGCGTCAACTACGGCAGTCGCACGCCTCGCTCGAGGATGTCTCCTTAGAGAGAGAGAGAGCTCTCCACCCCCAACCTTTTGAATTTTGGTTTTCACCTATAATAGTGTCTGGCTCTCATCGCGTTGGGATTTGTTGGTAGAAGGGGGCTACTTTGTGCTCGATCGTGTTCTTCCGAGACGGCTCCGAACCACGTTTTTGTTCCTGTACGAAGTGTTGTTGCTCATTCATCGTGTTGAATCGATTTTCTTCTGGCATGTGGCCGTTTCACCCGACCTTTTTTTTTTCTTCTTTTGTTGGGACTTTTTTTTTTTTTTTTTTCTCCGCAGCTGTAAGCGGCGGTCCACTCTTCCCACCGGTCAGAGTATTTTTCGTGATTTCTCGAGATTCGCGACCCTTCCCCCGCTAACGATCCCCTCCCC